GATGCCATATAGTTTTGTGAATTTAGGAACTGCTAGGAGGCTTGGAAACTATATTGGTCAGTTTATTAGTTATGATGAGAGCCAGTTTGAAGAAAAGTTGGAGTCTTATATGAGAATCAGGGTGAGTATGGATGTTGGGAAACCTCTGAAAAAGGTCTCTACTCTTAAGAAAGGTGGTACTGGCATTGGATGGATTTCAAATATGAAAAACTCCCTAATTTTTGCTTTGTTTGTGGGGTGTTTGGACATTCTGATAAATTTTGTCCCTTAAAATATGAGGATGATATAATGTCGGAAAAATCATTTGGAGTAGAGCTTCGAGCTGACGGAGAGGTGAAGACTAGCCCCTATAGGGGAAATAAGTGGTTAGGGGAAATTTCTCAAGTTCAAGGGTGGCTAGACGTAGATAAGGATGGTTAAGGGACAGGGGGACAAGGTGGGTGACAGTCCACAACGGGTACAGGTAATAGTGTTACCAAAGAAGGAGAAGTGGGTAATATTGAGGAAGTGTCGGTGGACCAAAAGCGCAGAAGGATTTGGGAAGAGCAGTCACAGGAGGATCCATCAGGCGAGAACATGTCACTGGATAACCCAAAAAAACGGGGAGGCTGCGGGTCCGAGCTTCTAGACCTGCCGGAAGTGCATTTGGTTTTTCTGCTCAAGAAAATAGAGTTTATTTTTTATTTTTTGTTGCTTTGCATTTTAATTCCCACGTTGAGGTTGTTCTTCTTTGTTTTTATTTCATTTACTGCTATAAGACTCTTGCATTAGGATTGAGTGATGAGAGGTATGCGGTAACCGTCTTTGGCTCAATTATGTCCAAGTTAGGATCAACGAGTTATATTGCTTTGTCAAAGGTGATTAGCCTTAATTCTGGTTCAAGAGTTGATGGTTACATGTGATGTTTTTGTTGTTTCAACCCCTATCTGAATGTTGTGATATCAATCTAAGCCCCCTTCTTCCAAAAAAGAATGATATATTAGGTTTGGCACATTATTTAAGATATAATTAATAGGGGTAATGAATAGTGTTGAAAAAGCATGAGAGATGGTGTAAAGAATGAAAGAGGAGATAAAAGCAAGAAAATTAAGAGTAAACTTACCAAAAATGGAAGTATAGCAAACTTTTAAATACATCCAAAAAAGGAAAGTGTTGCGAACATTAAAACTACGGATATGTATTTATTATCAAACAAATTCATTTTATTTACTTAATTAGGATATCAATTATTACGTATTAATTAATTTTGGTTTGGATTTTGCAAATTTATAGATATTTTAGCATGTAAATTTTAATTATTAAATTGAAATTATTAAAATTTAAATTAAAAATCAATAGGGAGAATTTAACTTTAAAATCGGTTAAACATTTTTTTTTTTTTTGCGAAACAATTTGTGACATAGGTAATACAAACTTTACCAAATTTAGAGCACCCCATTGCAAAAGTGTGCATATACATGTGTCATGAAAGAGTCAAATACATAAAATTAAGTTAATGAAATTTCTCTTTTTTTACTCGGTAAACAAAAGATCAAAATCAGTGGGATAAATGATGAAAAACATTTACCAACTAATCTTTGGGCTGAACCCAGCAGAGTCTTTGCTACACGGTGAACGGCCCAATTGGCCTCCCTCCAAGTATGTGCGATCGTGAGTCCATGTCTGGTGTGAATTAGGAATCCATAATCCACTTCTCATCTATATCTTTGATGAGAGATAACACTCTGAGCATCCGTTTTAATCCGGAAATTGATGAATCCGGCTTCAATAATCGATTATGTCGCCTTTGTTACTGTTATTAGCTCTGCCTCTTCTTTCTTTCCACATTTTATATATTTTTGATAATTTTTTCAAATAATATCAATCACAATGTCAATATCACTACATCAGGGCACTTTTCTTGACACTGAAGAAAAACATACCAAAAACATATAATATCTTTCAAATAAGAAGATAGATATATTGCTTACTAATATTTGTGTGTCTATATCTCTTATATATGTCACACGTACACCGTGCATATTTTGACATTGGAGATACTCTTAGTACGTAGTATGAGACAATTTTAATAGGGCAAATCAAAAAGTAAAGACAAGAAAATCTTAGCAGAACGAATGGAACACGTCATATACAAACATCATTAAAAAGTTGCAACGAATGGAACACGTCATATACATACATCATTAAAAAGTTGCTCATGTCACAAGTCACTTACTCCGTATTTACTTGCATCACACATGTGGAGACTAATGGCCATGTGAGCTATCATATTGTTTAGCTAATACTCCGTATTGTTTTACGAATTGGACCAAGAAGCAACCCGACCAAACTTTTCTAAATGTCCCTTAGTCCGATCAACCATTTTATATCTTGCAAAGGAGATTCCTTTTGTACGTAAAGGAAGGACTCAACACATTTCTTCACAGAAAAACAATACCGTTCTTATTTGAGTAACAAAGCGTAATTACAGTTTGCCAACTATTGGTATTACAAAAATCTCCAGATCTGAATATAACTAATGAGTATGGTATAGTGTGTTTTCTTATGGTCCAGAGAAGTTATGCAAATCGCAATTAGTCTGTTAAGCTGAGTTTGCACACCGAAAAAATCCACGGTCCTTAAGCATCAAGGTCCACCTGGATTCTTTATAAGAGCATCTCCAATGCTCGTGGTGGATTGGTGTTGAGGTTTCAAATAAATGGAAAGGGCGTATTGAATTTGTGAGCTCAAAGTAATCAAATGGAGAGGGTCTATTAACACCATACTCCAATGCGGAATAACTTATAGTGAGCTCAAAAAACAACTATTGGTATAACTTATAGTGACTAATAGTAATAATGGGGGGGCCGACTGTGGTCTTGTTAAGCTGTGAAGTACATGTGGTTAACCCAAGCCTTATGCTAAAATTAATGGTAGTACAGGTTGTACATGTTCCCACATCGGCACATTCCACAATCCACATTATAGAATGCTGATTAATGATGATGAACACTTAGAAGGGTCCATTTGCCACCTGAAAAAATGGCTTTATGAATATTAATGCAACTTCTACAAATTCATTTTGGTATTTGTTCAAACTTTTTTTATTTAAAACCTATAAAAAGAACCATTATATATACTATCGTATTAGAAACCTTAATCGAATTTTTTTTCTTTATAAATCACATGCAAAAGTCACACAAATGAGATCGCAGCTGAATCAGTTTCTATGTTTACTTAATTAATTAAATTATTAGTTTCGGAAATACAGCTGAATCAGTGAACGAAGAATCGAGTTTTCAATAGGGGCATAGCGGGTAGTTGCCAAATCAATTCGTAATAATTCTGATGATGTAACAATAGGGGCATAGGGGATTATTTTTAGCACCGCATGGTCCAAAAAAAATTTGGTTGACCCGGTCCAAACCGTTTTTCCCGGGTCTTGGCCATTTCCGGGTACCCGCCCGGTCCGTCTGGTCCGGATCCCAGACCCGGTTCCCGTTTTTTTCATAGTTTTTTGGCCATACCGAAGCCCAAAAAACGGGTCAGCACCGAAACCGGTACCGCCCTGTTCGGTCCACAAAATTGTAAATTGGGACCGCGAGCCGCGAACTGCTCTAGGGCGGACAGGTCCGGTGCCAGGCCCAAAATCACTCTAAATGGACCCAGTCCAGTCCCAAACAATGTCGGACCCGGTTCCAGACTGCCGGATGCCCAGATCGAGTCCACTCCTAACATGAACCATTAGGACAACTCCGATGGAGAGGTGGATTATCAAAAATGCTATCCACATCACCAAATGGACCCTTTATGAGAAGATGTACTACTCTACGATGCAAAAGAAATGAGCGAAGTCCATCGTTGTTAGCAATGCACATGGATGGTCCAACGGTATGTCTACTTTGAGACATTCGATCTCACCCATCCTCACCTTCATAGCTCTCCCTTCCGCATAGTTCTCCAACGGCAGGTCTACTTTGAATCTTTGATATTTCAATAATTGGTTTTACATTGCATAGGTCTCCCTTCCGCATTGGAGTAGGGTGTTAATAGACCCTCTCCATTTGATTACTTTGAGCTCACTAATAGACACATTTTCCATTTATTTGAAACCTCAACATCAATCCACCACGAGTATTGAAGATGCTCTTATAAAGAATCTAGGTGGACCTTGATGCTTTAGGACCATGGATTTTTAGGTGTGCAAAATCAGCTTAACAGACACTGTACACATTCTTTAAAAAGAGAACTCGTACAAGGTTATATGAATTATACTCTAGAGTAGTCATGGACCTGGGCCGGGCCCGGCCGGGCTTTTTTCTTGGGAAGGAAGGCCCGGGACCGGCCCGGGTAGCCACCGGGTCCGGGCCGGGCCGGGCCTCCGGTTCGGTCATTTTTTTTTTTTTTTTTTTTGCTTTCCTAACCCCCCCACCCCCCAAACCCCCAAACCCCTCCTAACCATCAAGTCCAACCCGGCTAACCCCAAAAAATGAAAAAAAAAAAAAATCAATTCGGCCCGGGCCCACTCGGCCGGGCCTGTTCGCCAAATACAAGACCCAAGCTCGGACCCGCCCCCCCACCGGACCTAGGCCCGACCCGGACCCGGACCCGGACCCGAGAACTGCGCTGGTTCCGGGCCCACACAGTGGCGGGCCGGGCGGCCCGAACCGGGTCCATGCCTACTCTAGAGAATTTGTTTAAAATAGTTTCTGCAACCAGTAATGTAATTAATGGCTCTACCTAATAGGTTTGTTTAGTTAGAGGTTAGGGAGAGAAAATATCTGCCTCCCCCTTATGGGTTTAAATTTCAGTAAGTAGAGAGTGGAGTAGGGGACATAAATTTCTTCCTTCCTCAGTTCCTCCTCTCCCTAGTCCCTAGCTTCGAACCAAACACACCCTAATCTTTATGACAATCAATGCACCATATTTCCAAAAGTTGTGAGCACCCCATAATCAAGCCAAGTTGGAATTACCAATTGCATTATGCATTCATTCATTCATGATTTAAAAAAACATAGAACGGGATGATGAGTGAAACCCAAACTAAATGCAAGGCGAGCGAGACTCTTCCACCTTTTCAGTCTTCACTACACCGCAAATCATGCAGTATTTAATGCTAGTACTAAGGAAAATCACAACCTTAATATCCCTCTAACACTGATCAAGTCAAGCTATTCTCACAATCTGTGTTAGCATTCATCCTTTCAATATGATTTCTTAGAACGCGTTTTCAGATAGTTAAATGCACTTCTTAGGCAAATAGCTACCAAAGTTAGCTGCCAATTATATACTCAGATCACCAGGAACATGAATTAAGCCTGACCCAAATCACTTTCTCCAAACAATTCACCTTGATTGTATCTGTGTGGACCGTGTGGCTGAAGCCGCTGAACATTCTTAGTAAATTGAAGAATATATCAATCTGAATATGACATGATAAAGTAAAATAGTATGGATGCAATAGTTGTTAATGTTTTAAACAAAGTTTCTGAAAGATCTCCTTATCATGTGGAAGTCCTTATAGAGAAAACAAATATCATATACATGCACAGTCCAAATACCGGAAAACTGAACATAACAATTTATGAAATGATAACTTTATATGAAGCCAAGACGAAGCCAATTAGAAAGACGGTGAATAGAGAGAGAGAAACTGGGCATGGAACTAAAAATACACAGTTAAACTTATGAATAAGGCGATAATGACAGTAAAAAAGCAATCCTTGCAAAGAGAGTTAAAGGAAATGTCAAGAAAATATATTTATAGCTACAGGGGGGAACCTGGCCGATTGCAGTAAAGCTTTTAGTACTCCTGCTCAATCCGTTGGATTATGAGACCTACTGCTGCATTTGCTGATGAGAATGCTCCATGAAAGCTCTCCTGATAGGATATAGATTCCAAATCTTTAGCCATCTTTAACAATATCTCACCTATATCGATCTCTTTCTCCATTAACGATTTGTAGAACGAACTTGAAGCAACCTTGCTAATTTCCACATTGGTGTCTTCAGGACAATATTCATCATCCAACCACTTGTTGAGAGTAACTCTCAGCCATTCTGACGCCTACATAATTTTAATGCTTTCCTCACTCAATTGATTCATATTGGAGAAGCAACTTAAAATTTCTACTAGTTTCGACTAGACCTGGGACTTGGAACAGTAAAACCGGGAAAACCAATCCGAAGTTCCGAACCAATATCACCAGTTCGGTTCTTGAAATTTCGGTCACTTATTGAAGGAAGAATTGCATGACTATATAATGGTATTTTCTCATGATCCTTGTACCTATTTTGAAATTAAATGATCAAAAAGTGCAGCTGAAACTGCGAACTAATTTTATTATTACTATTCTCAAGAGGTTGTTTGTCAAAAGATTAATCTTTTCTCTAAAGATTCTCATTTTGAATACTTACTTACTTTGAATGAGATTTATATTATAGTGTATTGGCTTGAACTCATTAAACTTTGCATTTTAGTAATTTAAACAGTTTATATGTTTATTAGACATGCTTTGTAATTTCTGAACTCTTAATTCTTTGTCGAAGTTGTGAATTTATTTAACTTTAGATTTTTATTTCAGGTTTTTCTCATATGTATTAGAGGTTGTTTATCTTTATCCTTTTTGAACTATAAAGCCAGTGTGACTATAATCTCAGCCTTCAAAATTAGCTATGAGCTTTAAATATTGTGTTCATATCTGACTCTCTAATCAAACTGCAAATGGTATAAATAGACTATGATATGTTGTGTCATTGAAAAGTAATACTCCCTCCGTCCCAATATAAAAGGCACACTTTCCTTTTCGGTCCGTCCCAATATAAAAGGCACATTTCCCTTTTTGGCAAACAAAACAGTGCAAAACAGTGCCAAACAGTGTCAAAACAGTGTCAAACAGTGTCTAAACAGTGCCAAACAGTGTTCAAACAGTGTTCACCCTTAAAATGTCTAGAAACGCAAATGTGCCTTTTATATTGGGACGGAGGGAGTATAATAAAGCACTTGTTTGACAATGTACTTTCGTCCATAAAATAAGTGAATTCCAAACCCTTAAGCCCCATAAGTAAAAATGCTTCCACATAGCTCTAGAGGGATAGTACATTGGTGTCTATTTTGCTCTCAGATTTAGATATTTCTTCTTACTTTATTAATGTGCAATATTAATTTATGAATATTTTTCAGAGTTAAATTTACCTGGTGTTGGGTGTGTTATGCTCGTTGCCTTGGAACCAAAAACCTCTTTACTAGGCACTTGCATGCAGGGGGCGGAGGTAGGGGGCCAACAGCACTCAGGCTCACCCCAAATTTAAATTTTCTCTGTATTTTTAGTGTAAAAATTTATGTGTAAAAATTTATCTGAAAAAAATCTTTATACCAGCCTACCCCGAGCTTCGATCCTAGCTACGCCCCTGCTTGCATGCGTATTTCAAGATTTTCATTTATGAGTTGAACTTATATGCCTTGTTTATTATTTTCTTAAGCTTGGAATTTTCATAGTATTTAGACATTGGATGTGTATGGTTATATCTTTGATGCTTCAGGAGTGGGATTTTGTGGAAGTCGAGTCTGACTCTTTATTGGCGGTTACTGAAATTCTTAAGGGGAATAGTATATCTTCGGGAGGTTTGTTGGCAATGACATTCGGGAAATTAGCTCGGGGTTTAATAATATTACTTTTTCTTTTGTTAGACGTTCAGCGAACAGCGTTGCTCGTGCATTAGCTAAGGAAGCATGTTCTTTATCTGATAGTCGTATTTGGGTGAAATCACCCCCGAGTTGTATTGAGAACGTTATGTACTTTGCACCCCGTTTTTTAAAAATTTTGTATTTGCACCCGAATCCCGTATGAAGAGACAAAAATGTCCCTCCGTCAACAATTTTGTTGACCTTCAACATATTCCTGATTGAGAGGCATTTTTTTCCTTTTCATACAGGGTGGGGTGCACATACAAAGTTTTTTAAAGACGGGTGTTAAGTCTAATTTGGACAATAAAATGAAGTGCAGACTCAAATTACCCCAACTAATAATCCCTAATTCTAGGCATTTTACAAAAATAATACTTACTGGAAAAGTTCACAACAATAATCCCAAACGGATAATTGTTTCACAAAAATAAACCGGAAGTTAATGGTGTTAACTTTTCCGTTTTTTTTTTTTAAATTTAAAATAAAATGAAGCAAATATTTATAAAACCATTAATAATATTATGTTTTTGTTTTATCTAATTTCTACTATAAATTTAATTTAATAATAACTATGTTTTGTAAAATATAATAAAAATATTTGAACACATACTCGTATTCATTTTAGTAATATTTAATACAGAATTACTAAAATTAATTTTAAATCTCTAGTATAATGAAATAGAAATGAATATAAATAAAATATTGATTAGAACTAAAAGAAAACAGAATTTGATGAGTAAGTTTTAAAATATTTCTATTACATTTTATGAAAAATACAAGTAATGACTATTAAATTCAATTTATAATAAAAGTAAATATAAGAACAAATATACGAAGTATATAATATTGTTGATGCTTATACATATTTTTGCTTCAATATATTTAAAATGCAAAAAAAAGTAAAACCGAAAGATTAACACTGTTAACTCCGGGTTTATTTGTGTGAAGGAGTTAAATAGTTCGGATTATTGTTGTGAACTTTCCCTGTTGGGATTATTTTTGTAAAATGCATAAAAGTAGGAATTATTTATGTCAATTTCGCCCATATTTTTCAGTAATAATAGAGTTAATTTATCTTCATTTTAGCCTTTTAGGAGGATTACATGATAATTTAGGTTCATAAAAAGGTAAGAAACAAAGCATTTTTACCTTGTTCAGTTCCAAAGTGGTTCTGCATTTTCTTTACTAGGACCAAACCTAATTTGAATATTAACTGGAACCTAACCTATACCAGGTCTAATTGGACAGATAATGAAAAAGGAAAAGAACGCAATTCACCTCTAAAGCCTTAGAAGGTTCCGACCAATGGATTGGAACCCTCAGTTCTTCAATTAAATCGTCCGGGACTTCATCTCCGCTGCTGTTCACGTTTAGAGGCGAGAACGATCGACGAAGACCTTTCTGAGTGTATACGACCGGGAAATTGAAGGCCGGAGCGAACGAGAATCCTCTGATTCGCGCTGTGCAACGAGCAGAATATTTTGTGAATAAACGGAAAGGATGATATGCTTTTACGTCTGTATTAGCCGATACCAATAATAGGGAAGCCATTGTGGTCCTCGTGTACGGCATACACTTCATGCTTGTGGTCGGTATAGAGGCCAGCTTGTGTTGGGAAGTAATTGTTCATTTCATCAACTAAATAAATCTGCAGAATGACAAAAGTTAATATCCAAAATATATTTTTAACTTCTTAAATACAATACTCCCTCCTATCCTTCCGTTCTTAGATGGCTTCTTAGCCTTTTACACAAGATTCAAGAAGAAATTAATAAAAGTAAGATAAAAGATGTGGTGGATTGTGTGTAAAGGAAAAAGTAGAAAAGATAAAACAGTAGGAAATAAAATGAAGGTATACATGTATATTTATTAAAAAAACTTTTCAATAATGGAAAGGGAGACATGTATTGGAGAACATGTCAAAATTAAAAGAGAAACATGTCAAAATGGAATATTAAATTTTATTTCATAAAAAAGTATTAAATTTCATTAAAAAATAAACTTCAGGTTGTTTCCAAAGGGAAGGATGAGGTTCATTTTTTGAGGCATATCCTTCCACTTTCATTTTGAGTGTTTGCGACTAAACTCTGTCAGAAACAAGGTTGTGTGACACTTTTTATTCGTTTTGTCGCTTTCTTTACGTCCTTTAAACAAAAACTTTCAAAGTGAAAACACATATCTCACTTTATGAAAAAATGAACCTCATGTCCCTATATTAAAGCGATCGAAATCACAAAATGAACATATGACATGGACTTATATTATACTACCTCTGTCCCAAAATACATATTTTAAGTCAAATCTTAATATTTTGACGATAATTTTGATTAGTATAATATTATGAAAGTTATAATTTCATACTTTTGTGAAAGTACTTTTAACAAAGAACGTTTTTTTATTATAAATAATTTCCAATATATATATATATATATATATATATATATATATATATATATATATATATATAATAAAGATCAAATGAGAACATTGCTTAACGTGAGAACGTGAGAACACCACTTTTTCCCCAACGTGTTGCACAATGAAGCTTGTATATTGCACATTTTCACATTTTAACAGTATTTACAAAAATGCCACCGTGTTTATTTATTATACTCTTATTTCGACCAAATTGAAAATGTGCAACAGAATAGCTCCATTGTGCACCACATTGATTTAAATGTGAGTGTTCTCACGTTCTCACGTTAAGCATCGTTCTCACTGGAACCGCACCCTATATATATATATATATATATATATATATATATATATATATATATATATATATATATATATATATATATATATATATATATATATATATATATATAGTTGATCAAGTTTAAAGATGACTAAATATTTTGAGACAGAGGTAGTATCTATTACTTCCTTTATTCTTTTCTAGTTGCAACAGTCAACCACTGCACATTTGCCGACGTGCACATTTGACCGTAAGCATCTTAATCTCTATTAATAAAAATATACTCCCTCCGTCCGAAAATAAATGTCCTGCTTTCCTTTTTGGTCTGTCGCAAAAAAAAATGTCTCACTTCTTTAATTTCCTTATTTGGTAAACAAATCTATACCAAACAGTGTCAAACAGATAAAACAGTGACAAACAGTGTCGCTACAGTGCCAAACAGTGTCGCTACAGTGCCAAACAGTGTGCGGTCAAATTCATTTTCTTAATATGTGTGAAAGTCAAAGCGGGACGTTTGTTTCGTGACGGAGGGAGTATTAAAAATCAGATTTTGAAAATCTGTAATAAGATGTGTTGGTATTGGCCCGGTTCACTTCATAAGCCCAAAATTAGTCCATTTGTACCCGGCCCGTTCCTTTTGGTTGAACTCTCGGTTGATGGCTTCCTCCTTCTCGTTTACTTTCCTTCTGGCAAGAGTATTTTCTCTTCCTTGGCCGATTCAATGCGTATCTGAACAAGTAAGGTAAGTTTCCATCCTGAGTTTATAGCCTTGCCTATATATTCTTCCTCCTTCTCCTTCATTGAGGTCGGCCGAACCCTATTCCACTGTTTTCTTCTCCTTTGTGGACGAATTAAGGCTAATTGGCAGAAGTTGAACATTGAGGTTGTTGCCCAATCCTCCCTTTGTGATCTTAGTAGTGTTCTTCACCCTTTGTGGGTGAATTCTTGTGGAGACCTGAGCTGGAAACGAGAAATAACAGTGGTATCAGAGACATTGGAGAGCCAGCCGCCGCCCGCCGCCGTCTCGCCGCCGTCTGCCACCGTCGGACGTCCCGCGACCGTCGCCGGAGTTGTCCAATTCGCCTGCCGGAGTTCAGCTGTGAGTCCAGTAGCCTCCAGGAGCCAAACCAGTCGGCCAGAGCTTCTGCCGGAGTCCAGAAGCTGCTGCCACCACCGGTCCAGACCTGCTGCCGCCGGTTCAGTCCGCTGCCGCCAGTCCAGTTCGCTGCCGCCACGCTCTACAGCAGCCCACGCTGCCTACGGTAAGTCGGGTAACCCAACCTCGGGCCCCGCTCAGGTAAATTGGCGTTTAACATCCTTGGTGTACCGGAGTGCCACCGGATTTATTTTTTCCCCCCGCTCCCCGCTCCCCGCTGCCCGCTGCTGACCTACGTGGTCTTGGATGCCGGCTGTGCCCGGCCCCAGGTACGTTTACTAATCCTTTGTGTGATTATTATTCGTAGTTCATTCATTTTAATTTCAAGTTGAATTGCAATTACTTTGTTGTTTGAATTGTGATTACTTGTTTGTTGGTCCGTGGATTAATTTTCCGGTGAAGAATATTTTGTTTGGATACTCATTGTCCAAAGTTGTGAATATTTCTTCCGGTTTAAATTTAATCCGTTTGGATCTTGTTTTTCCTTTGTTGGTTTGTGATTAATTTTCCGGTGAAGAATATTTTGTTTGGATACTCGTTGTCCAAAGTTGTGAATATTTCTTCTGGTTTAAATTTAATCACGTGTTGGATTTTTTATTTTGATTTTTTCTGTTGATTGATTCGTGGATAAACTCTCCGGTTAAGAATATTTGTTTGGATACTTGTTGTCCGAAGTTGGGAATATTTCTGTCCGGATTAGTTTTAAATCCCGTTTCTTTGCCTATTAATTTAATTTTAGCCTATTTGTGCTTGTACGAAAGAACAAGGAGATTGTACCCCGAACTTTGTGTTCATTGGTCTTCTCGCCTTGTTCGTGCTAGTTGCTTCGTACAATTGATAGCCCTATAGGTTATAATTAATCATTTATCTGTCTGTTGAGTAAATAAAAATTTTATCTGTGCTTGTACGAAAGAACAAGGAGATTGTACCCGAGCCTTGTGTTCATTGGTCTTCTCGGCTTGTTCGTGCTAGTTGCTTCGTACCGGTTGATAGCCTGATAATTTTTTTTTATTTACTCTCTTGCGTGTTGTGCTTGCTTTCGGTTAATATGGCTGTCAATCAATATGGCATGCTTCCATTTAACGGAAAGACAGATTTTGATATCTGGAAACAGAAAATCAAATGCGTGTTGATCCAACAGAAAGTCTATAGAGCAGTGACTGGTCTCTATTTAGACTCTGAGGATGCTGCTAAGCGCGTTGAGATGAATGAAACTGCTTGTTCCTCTATATACCTGAACCTTTCTGATTCAGTGCTCAGGAAGGTGGGTATTATAGATTCCGCGAAGGATTTGTGGGACAAGTTGGATAAGTTGTATACCGATACTTCTTTGCCTGGTAAATTGTTTTTGCTTGAGAAGTTCTTTAGATTTAGGCTCGACCTGTCTAAGGACATAGATGAGAACCTAGATGTGTTTAACAAGCTTATTCAGAACATTAAGCAAGCCGGTGATAAACACATAGATGACTACACGCCCATAGTGTTACTTAATGCCATCCCTGACTCATACAATGACGTCAAATCTGCCATAAAGTATGATAGAGACGATATCTCGTTAGATATAGTCGTTAATGGATTAAGGAGTAAGGAGTTAGACCTTAGACACTCGAGGGGTAGTAACAGTCAGTCTAGGGACTCAGGTGAAGCGTTGTTTGTGAGGGGTAGGTCTAAGAGTAGATCTAGAAACCATAAGAAGGGCAACAACGATAAGAACAAAAACAATGACCCGGGGAAGAAGAGAGGTAAGTCTAAGAAGAGAGTGTGCTATAATTGTGGTAATTCTAGTCACTTCATTAAGGATTGTCCCCATCCGAAGAAGTCTGAACATGCTAATGTGGTAGATGATAATAATTTGCATGAAGAAGTTTTTATGATTTGTGATTCTGCCAATTCTGTGTTGAGTAGCATGACTGAAAATGAGTGGTTGATTGACTCTGGTTGTACTTATCATATGACACCTTTTAGATCCTTGTTTGCTTCTTATGATTCTTGCAATGATGGTTTTGTGTCTCTTGCTGATAATAAGAAATGCAAAATACATGGGGTGGGTGATGTATGTTTGAAGTTTGATAATGGGACTGTGTTTACTATGAAAAATGTGAGGCATGTTCCTGATTTGCGTCATAACTTGTTTTCTGTTGCTGCTTTTGAGGGTAGTGGATTAGAGGGTAAATGGGGTAATGGGTGCATGAAAGTTTTGAAAAATTCCCTTGTTTTGTTTAAGGCAAAAAAGGTGAATAACTTGTATGTGTGCCATGCTCAGCCTTTCTGTGATTCTGCTCATGTTGTTAGTTCTGATAAATCTGCTTTGTGGCATAATAGATTAGGACACATGAGTAATAGGGGTTTAGAGATTTTGCATAAATCTGGTTGTTTTGGTAAGGATTCTGTGTCCCCCATCCCCTTTTGTGAATCTTGTGTGTTAGGCAAGCAGCATAAGGTTACATTCCCCTCCTCCCCATATCCTAATCCTACTAAGTGTACCTCTGTGTTAGAGTATGTTCATGCTGATGTGTGGGGTCCTGCTAGTGTCTCTACCCACGGGGGTAAGAGATATTTTCTGTCCATCATTGATGATTTTTCTAGGAAGGTGTGGGTCCGTCTCCTTGAGCATAAGTCCGATGTCTTTGTGAAGTTTAGGGAGTGGAAAAACCTTGTAGAAAATCAAACTGGTAAGAAGGTCAAAACCCTTAGGACAGATAATGGTCTAGAGTTTTGCAATAAGGATATGTACCAACTGTGTGTTGATTGTGGGATTAGAAGGCACAAAACTGTGCCCTATACTCCCCAACAAA